TCCTGTCTGCATTAACCACACGTACTTGTTGTGAACATACAAACAAAAAACATGTTTTATACGCTTCAGTGATTTTGCTGGAGCAGTCACACCTGATGACGGATGCTTGTGTTGCTTCCGAAACGTCGTGATTAAATTTTTTTTACCCACGTGACTTTACCGAAAAAAAAACAAAGAGTATGGATCCTTGCAGTCACGAAAACTTCAAATCTAGAATGCTCCGATAGTATCTGCATTGTCTTTGAAAGTGATTGGGCCACACCAGAGACAGCTTTCTTTAGAGCCTCGTCTCAAGCAGAGTTAGACCAGAGGACGACACCAAAAGGCGAACAGCACAAAGACCATGCCACCATCAGGGCATTGAGAGCTCGGGGTGAGCAGCTACATCATGGGACATCCCTTGCCAGTGTCAAAATATAATAGTAGGCGTTACCCTTTCTGGCAATTTAACATTTGTGTCAAGATGTTAAAACACCAAACAGAATAATTTCTCAAGGAATCCTGTCTACATTAACCACACGGCACTTAAGGTGAACATGCAAAAACGAATCTCCATTTCGAGATCGCAGTAACCTTGGGTAGGAGTGATAGACGAGTGATAAGGAGGCCGCTGACCGCCGGTCAAACGAGCGGCTGCAGGGAACCAGTGGCTGCTGGATCGTCAAATCTCCCTAACTGCTCGAGATGTCGACATGAAGTCCTCACTCTCAACCCACTCCCCCACCCCAAACGATGCCCGACCCAGCCGACTCGGCACCACCACCACCACCTCCTCGGCCTCGAGTGAACCCGTGTATCACTCTCTGCACTTTCTCACTGTCGGATTGATTACAGCGCAATGCGCTCACCACTGCCCTACCGCTCCCTACATATATACGTAAACAAACACACACACACGCACACAATCCCCGCCACAGCCTGTAACAGACTAGATTTGAAGCTTTCGTGACTGCAAGGATTCATATTCTTAGGTTTTTTCGGTAAAGTCACGTAGGTAAAAAATTTAAAATTAATAAAAGTAAAATATATATATAAAAATCACGACGTTTCGGAGGCAACACAAGCTTCCGTCTTCAGGTAAAACCGTCACAGCACGATAGCTGTATCATTGGAATTTATCTTACTTGATACAGCTATCGTGCTGTGACGGTTCCACCTGAAGACGGAAGCTTGTGTTGCCTCCGAAACGTCCTGATTTTAATATTTTTTTATATTTTTTTTATATTTAACTTTTATTAATTTTATTTTTTTACCTACGTGACTTTACCAAAAAAACCTAAGAATCTGTAACAGACTGTTGGGACACGTGGTGTCAGCGAGTAGACTCGGCACACGAGAATGTTTCGAGGCCAGCACCACACCCATCCACCTTTTTCCGGTGCTTTACACACCGCACCAAGTAACCCGTTTTTAGGCCGAGCCGACCTAGGGGAGGCACGGTGACCGGTTCAGATATTCGTCACTTGATATTGGCCGTGAGCGGGAAATCGAACTCGGGTCGCCGGGTGGTATAGTGCGGTGCGCGAACTACTCCCCGCACATATCTACACATACATCTGGTCCACACACACACACACCCGCATGCATGCAGCTGGGAAATGTATGAAATGTTAATGCTCGATTTCCGAGTGCGTCACGCTCTGTTTTAAAAGTACATTTACAAATACAGAAGTTTTTTTTTTATCCGGGCAGTCGGGGTCACGGGGAGGCGGGGGTGGGGGGGAGTTGATGGGGAGTGGGGTAGGAAAGAATTGAGACGCATGGGGGAGTGGGATGAGGAAGTGGTGATGTGGAGTGGTGGATGTCACACAGAGCGTGCGTGCGTGTGTGGAGGAGGCTCGTGAAGGACGCTGCTGGGCAGTTGGAGGCAGTCGTCCTCCAGCAACGAGCTGAGGGCGGATGAGCGACGCTCACAACAACGAGCGGAGCGCCGGGCGGTTAAAGCGCAGCAAATATCTGCCAGTCATCTCATACCCACGGCACCTGGGTCTCTCCTGTGACCTCCTGTCAGCGAACCTTCCACGCTTAACGTGGCCTCAAGGTGCACCTAGCCTGGCACAATCGCTGTGGTGACATCACTGCCACTCAGTGACGAATTGCGGCTTTTTTTAAATCCTTTATATTAAGTTCGCTTGCTTGCTTGCTTGCGTGCTTGCGTGCTTGCTTGCTTGCTTACGACCGTGCAAATCTTTAGGTCGTTTTTTAACCCACTTCCCGTGATCCAATCGAGCTGACATTTTGCACACAGACTCGTTGTGCGAGACAATTAATGTTTTTTTCCAAAATGTTACACTGTTTAGGGAAAACAAATTAAATATTTAATTATCTATTGCTTAATACTGGCAGACAATCATCTGACCCATAGGTGGCAGCCATCTCAAGCCAGAGGACGAGAGGACTCTAGCCGCCACGCATATAAAGGATTTATAGTGAAAACTTTGTTTTTACGGGTTATACTTATTTAAATGTATGATCGTGTGAGAGAGCGTGTGAGTAAATTACTGCTGATTGTGAGAGGGTATGGGAGCGTGTGAGTAATTACTGCAGTGTGTAAACGTGTGTGTGCTTGTGCGTAGCTAGATGTGTGAGAGGTTGCTGGTGGGTGTATGTGCGTTTGTGTGGCTCTGTGTACAGTGGTTAACGCACTTGCCTTACGAACTCAGCGACTTGAGTTCGATTCCTGACTACGTCCATGTATGTATATGCAGGGTTCTTCAAAAATGTGTTTTTACACTTCTGAGAATTTGCAACAATATCGCGAGAAATTTGCTCTGGAGACCACCTGGAGAAGATTCGAGGCAACGCGTTGATTCTATGAAGCTGTTAACATCACATTTGTTATCATGTTGCAGTGCAGTATCCATTCTTTTTTTAATCCTTTATTTTAAGTTCACTTGCTTGCTTGCTTAGGACCGTGCAAATCTTTCGGTCGTTTTAAACCCACTTCCCGTGATCCAATCGAGCTGACATTTTGCACACAGACTCGTTGTGCGTGACAATGCATGTTCGTGAAATTTTTTTCCCAAAATTTTACACTTTTTAGGACAAAAATATTATATTTAATTACCAATTGCTTAATGGTGCAATGCAATCATCTGACCCATAGGTGGCAGCCATCTCAAGCCAGAGGACGAGAGGACTCTAGCCGCCACGCATATAAAGGATTTATAGTGAAAAACGTTGTTTTTACGGGTTATACTTGTTCCCATATAAGTGTTAAACAATTTTTTTCGCACCGTACGTAACCAACCGTACGAATTGGAGGTTCCGGGGAAGGACAACAAACTAAACATAAAACATCAGTGGCGAGTGACATTACCTGGACCTCTCCAGAATCTTCCCCTAGGTAAAGTCAGCCTTAAATGTGTACCCGCTGCAGAATGCAAAACATCATTCCTACGTACACACCAGTCCGAAGCGGTAGGCTGCCGGTCTAACAACCTCCTTGCCACGTGGACGAATGGTTGGCAAACTTGCCACCGGAGAGACACCACCACCATCATCAGCATCACCGTCATCATCATCCTCATCAAGATCATCATCACCACCGCCACCTCCATTCAGCACCATCATTATCATCACCACCACCACCACCAACATCAGCATCACCGTCATCATCATCCTCATCAAGATCATCATCACCACCGCCACCTTCATCAGCATCATCATTATCATCTCCACCACCACCATCATCAGCATCACCGTCATCATCATCCTCATCAAGATTATCATCACCACCTCCATCAGCATCATCATCACCACCACCACCACCATCATCATCAGCATCACCGTCATCACCGTCATCATCATCCTCATCATCCTCATCAAGATCATCATCACCACCGCCACCTCCATCAGCACCATCATCACCACCATCATCACCATCATCAGCATCATCACCACCACCATCATCAGCATCACCGTCATCATCATCCTCATCAAGATCACCCTCGCCACCGCCAACCACCTCCCCATCAGGTGGCAGCAGCAGCGGCAGCGGCATCGTCAGCACCGAGAGCCAATCCGCGTGCGCGTGGCTCGTTGAGTGTAAGTGCGCGGATCGCTACGCGGGGCCGCAGAGCGCCGCTTGCGAGTGGAGGGGGTCGAATCGTCGCGCAGCCGCCCACGCTACGAGACCACGACAGGCGGACACGACAGGCAGACACCCACTCCCTACCCCCAAACCCTCACTCCCTCTTCCTCCTCCTCCCTCCCTCCCTCCCCATAGAACCACGCGCAGTTGCAGGCACCTGGTGCACTCTTCTTACAACTGAGCACAATTCTGATGGTGCTGTTTGTCGCCGGACGATTATTGATTAGGTCTGTGCCGGACAACTTTGTTTAAACATATACACACACACAGACATATACTGATATATACTAGACACGCATGCAGCTATAGATACATACGCACAGATACCCATACACACCGATTATACACACACACACACAGGCTGAGACATCTCCACTAATATACATACACCCAGACAGACGCGTAAATACACTCACTCACACACTCACAGCTGCCGCAACCTTCAGCCGACGCGACTTTACAGGTAAGTTCGCGCAAACACACACACACGCGTACACACACACACGCGTACACACACACACGCGTACACACACACACACGCACGCGCACACACACACGCGTACACACACACACGCGTACACACACACACACGCGCGTACACACACACGCGTACACACACACACGCGTACACACACACGCGCACACACACGCGCGCACACACACACACACGCGTACACACGCACACACACACGCGTACACACACACACACGCGCGTACACACACACGCGTACACACACACACACGCGCACACACACACGCGTACACACACACACACGCGCGTACACACGCACGCGCGCACACACACACACACGTACACACGCGCGCACACACACACGAGCACACACACACATTTATAGATACGGATTATATTGTGTTCAGCAGTCTGGTTCGGGAGCGAAACGCCAATGTCGATGTCTGCTGGCGACGACGACGAGAGGGCTTCGTGAGAGAGCGAGAGAGAGAGAGACAGAGTTCTTGTGCTGGTGGTGCTGCTGTTCATCCTCCTCCGTCGAAGGGGGCACAGCCTTGCGGTGGGTTAACTCCGTGGTCCAATAGTTCCGTCGATAAAGATCACCCGTGCAGCCTACATGATGGCATGTCGGGGGGGGGGGGGGGGAAAGTGCTGCTCGCCAGAGAAACGATCGTTCGGGGCGCTGCGAGGAGAAGTGGCATGGGCTGGAGCGTGAGGGGTGGCGACGGCGTGGGGAGGGATTTATCCAGCAGTGGATATATCACGGATTGTCATGATGCTAAAGGGGGACAATGGTCAATGATCAAGGCACTGCATTGTTACTGTTATTTGTGTTTGGGTGCCACGGTGGCTATGAGATGTTAACTACCTCGCCTCGTGTACAGGAGGTCGTGGGTTCGATCCCGACCCTGACGCCTGTTGAATATTTGGAGTTTGCGTGTCTCTCTCATCATCATCACGGTGGCTAGGAGATGTTAGCTACCTCGCCTGGTGTACAGGAGACCGTGGATTCGATCCCGATCCTGACGCCTGTTGAATATTTGGAGTTTGCGTGTCTTTCATCATCGTCACTGTAGCTATGAGATGTTAACTACCTCGCTTGGTGTACAGGAGGTGGTGGATTCGAACCCGACCCTGACGCCTGTTGAACATTTGGAGTTTGCGTGTCTCTCTCTCTCATCATCATCACGGTAGCTAAGATATGTTAACTACCTCGCCTGGTGTACAGGAGGTCGTGGATTCGATCCCGACCCTGACGCCTGCTGTATATTTGGAGTTTTCGTGTCTCTCTCTCTCATCATCATCACGGTGGCTAGGATATGTTAACTACATCGCCTGGTGTACAGGAGGTCGTGGATTCGATCTCGACCCTGACGCCTATTGAATATTTGGAGTTTGCGTGTCTCTCTCTCTCATCATCATCACGGTAGCTAAGAGATGTTAACTACCTCGCCTGGTGTACAGGAGGTCGTGGATTCGATCCCGACCCTGACCTCTGTTGAATATTTGTAGTTTGCGTGTCTCTCTCTCATCATCATCACGGTAGCTAGGAGATGTTAACTACCTCGCCTGGTCTACAGGAGGTCGTGGATTCGATCCCGACCCTGACGCCTGCTGCTGTATATTTGGAGTTTGCGTGTCTCTCTCTCTCATCATCATCACGGTGGCTAGGAGATGTTAGCTACCTCGCCTGGTGTACAGGAGATCGTGGATTCGATCCCGACCCTGACGCCTGCTGCTGTATATTTGGAGTTTGCGTGTCTCTCTCTCATCATCATCACAGTGGCGAGGAGATGTTAACTAGCTCGCCTGGTGTACAGGAGGTCGTGGATTCGATCCCGACCCTGACGCCTGTTGAATATTTGGAGTTTGCGTGTCTCTCTCTCATCATCATCACAGTGGCGAGGAGATGTTAACTACCTCGCCTGGTGTACAGGAGGTCGTGGATTCGATCCCGACCCTGACGCCTGTTGAATATTTGGAGTTTGCGTGTCTCTCTCTCATCATCATCACGGTGGCTAGGAGATGTTAACTACCTCGCCTGATCTACAGGAGGTCGTGGATTCGATCCCGACCCTGACGCCTGTTGAATATTTGGAGTTTGCGTGTCTCTCTCTCATCATCATCACGGTGGCTAGGAGATGTTAACTACCTCGCCTGGTCTACAAGAGGTCGTGGATTCGATCCAGACCCTGACGCCTGTATATTTTGAGTTTTCGTGTCTCTCTCTCTCATCATCATCACGGTGGCTAGGAGATGTTAACTACCTCGCCTGGTGTACAGGAGGTCGTAAATTCGATCCCGACCGTGACGCCTGTATATTTTGAGTTTTTTGTGTGTCTCTCTCTCATCATCATCACGGTGGCTAGGAGATGTTAACTACCTCGCCTGGTGTACAGGAGGTCGTGGATTCGATCCAGACCCTGACGCCTGCTGAATATTTGGAGTTTGCGTGTCTCTCTCTCATCATCATCACAGTGGCGAGGAGATGTTAACTACCTCGCCTGGTGTACAGGAGGTCGTGGATTCGATCCCGACCCTGACGCCTGTTGAATATTTGGAGTTTGCGTGTCTCTCTCTCATCATCATCACGGTGGCTAGGAGATGTTAACTACCTCGCCTGGTCTACAGGAGGTCGTGGATTCGATCCCGACCCTGACGCCTGTTGAATATTTGGAGTTTGCGTGTCTCTCTCTCTCTCTCATCATCATCACGGTGGCTATGAGATGTTAACTACCTCGCCTGGTGTACAGGAGGTCGTGGATTCGATCCCGACCCTGACGCCTGCTGCTGTATATTTGGAGTTTGCGTGTCTCTCTCTCTCATCATCATCGCGGTGGCTAGGAGATGTTAACTACCTCGTCTGGTGTACAGGAGGTCGTGGATTCGATCCCGACCCTGACGCCTGTTGAATATTTGGAGTTTGCGTGTCTCTCTCTCATCATCATCACGGTGGCTAGGAGATGTTAACTACCTCACCTGGTCTACAAGAGGTCGTGGATTCGATCCAGACCCTGACGCCTGTATATTTTGAGTTTTCGTGTCTCTCTCTCTCATCATCATCACGGTGGCTAGGAGATGTTAACTACCTCGCCTGGTGTACAGGAGGTCGTAAATTCGATCCCGACCCTGACGCCTGTATATTTTGAGTTTTTTGTGTGTCTCTCTCTCATCATCATCACGGTGGCTAGGAGATGTTAACTACCTCGCCTGGTGTACAGGAGGTCGTGGATTCGATCCAGACCCTGACGCCTGCTGCTGTATATTTGGAGTTTGCGTGTCTCTCTCCCCGTGGTCGCGTGGGTTTTCATCCGGTTCCTCCGGGTTTCCCTTGACATCTATAAACGCGCGTTTAGAGTATTTGGCTGCTATAAATTCCCACGTGATAAGCAACTTTGTTGAACTATCATTTGTGGCCAGGTCGCTTCTGAAAAAGATCTGTATAGCTCAGTGGGCCTTACCTGGTAAAATACAAGTAAATTTCGATTTAAAGCTTTCGTGACTGCAGGGATTCATCTTCTTGGTTCTTTCGGTAAAGTCACGTAGAAGGTGAAGACCAGGTCTGTCGGGGAGACGACGTCTGTCTCCCCGACAGACCTGGTCTTCACCTGAGGGACGGCTGCTTGCGTTGTGGCCGAAACGTCGTGAGAATTATTTTATTATGTTTTATTTTTATTACTTTATTATTTCCCTTCTACGTGACTTTACCGAAATAAACCAAGAATATAAAGTTTAGTTTGTTCATCTCTGCTCGCGCAGTTCCGCGAGATTTATAGAAATATACCCAAGTTTGATGACTTTATTTTTTCACTTTGCTGCTCATTTTTGATGCTCATTCGGGTGAGTCTGAGCGGGGTTATCGCGCTGCGCTATGAGGCACGGCAGAGGGAGAGAGACCATCACACGGCCCGTGCCAGCATCAACCACATACCTCGTCTGTCTGATCACTGCTGGCTTTGCACGTGCGTGTATTGACGACGATACGAAAGCGGTAGACCGAACGATCGCTGCTGATTGTTACGCTGAACCGGTAACGTCAGCGGCGATCGATATCGATCCCGGCTCACTTGCTCTGCCTCGTTTGCGGATCGTCATTGTGTACGCACGGTACGTCGAACTTCTTTCGCACCGCACGTAGCCCACCGCGCTAATCGCAGCTCCTGGAGCCCGAGCGCTTCTGCTTGAGTTCGGCGAGACCTGGAAAAATGCGGCCGCAGCACGGCACACCACATCCATCGATACCTCTCGTCATGGGGCTGTGGGCTACTGAGAGCCGCGTGCCACCTACTCCCGTCTACCCGCAAATGATCCGCCGACGAACAGAGGCTCGTCCTGAACGAGATGAAGAAGCAGAGAGGTCGTCTCCGCGTGCTCACACCCCCGTCCCCCCTCCGCACATCAACATTTTGTACGCATCCCATCAGCAAAGAAAGTTCCACACGAGCACAATTCTGGGCCGGTTTCGACATTCTCCATCTCATCAGCAGAGCCAGGCTTGCTTGCTTGCATCGATGCTGGCGAACTGTCAGAATGTTTCGATTTAAAGCTTTCGTGACTGCAGGGATTCATCTTCTTGGTTCTTTCGGTAAAGTCATCACGTAGAATGGAAATAATAAACTAATAAAAATAAAACATAATAAAATAATGGACCTGTTCTCCACCCGAGGACGGCTGCTTGCGTTGTGGCCGAAACGTCGTGATAATTAATTTATTATGTTTTATTTTTATTATTTTATTATTTACATTCTACGTGACTTTACCGAAAGAACCAAGAAGATGTCAGAATATTGATGTGGGTCTTAGTTCAACGCAAAACGATATACCACGTCGGGCGCGTCGTTCTGTCAACAGCACGTTCAGGAGCTAGAGGACAACGTTGATGTCTGCTGACCAAGACGAGAGGGCTGCAGTAGAGAGAGTTCGCGTCTTCTTGGTTCTTTCGGTAAAGTCACGTAGAAGGGAAGTAATAAAATAATAAAACATAATAAAATAATTCTCACGACGTTTCGGCCACAACGCAAGCAGCCGTCCTCAGGTGAAAACCAGGTCTGTCGAGGCGACAGCGTCTGAATGAAACAGCACCATGCTTGGAGCATATATTTAAGCTGGGTTGGAAGGGGGGGGAAAGGGCGCCTTGACAAAAGAATTTGCATATCAAAAGGAATTTAGCATATTTATGGGAAATGCAAAAGAGTTCGCGTCGTTTTGCTATTCCGCCTCCGATGCAGAAAAGCAGACGACAGTGGTTTACTGGCTGGTCGATAGTTTGGGTTGCGTGGGTACAATCACACTACTCTGGCTTGACTTTAATGTATCTCGGTGGGTCTCTATGTGTATGGCTTTATGTATCTCTATGGGTCTCTGTGTCTCCGAGTCTCTGCGTATCTCTATGGGTCTCTGAGTGTCTGTGTATCTCTATGGGCCTCTATGTGTCTCTGAGTCTCTGTGTGTCTGTATGTGTCTCTATGTGTCTCTGAGTCTCTGTGTATCGCTGTGTGTCTCTGAGTCTTTGTCTATCTCTATGTGTCTCTATGTGTCTCTGTTTCTCTGAGTCTCTGTGTATCTCTATGGGTCTCTGAGTCTGTGTATCTCTATGGGTCTCTGTGTCTCTGAGTCTCTGTGTATCTCTCTGTGTCTCTGAGTCTCTGTGTATCTCTATGTGTGTCTCTGTGTATCTCTCTGAGTCTCTGTGTATCTCTGTGGGTCTACATGGGTTTACTATAGGGTTGCTGTTGGCTTGCGTCTCTTCATTTACCATTCATGAAGGAGACGCGCGCATCGGCCCCGTTGGTTATTCTGAGCACAGAGTTCGCATTGATTCTACAAAGTTGACAACGACTCGATTCGTTTACACGCATCGCGAGGATCGGAAGTCGCTTTTTGTGTAAGCGATGCGTAATTGGCGCCGTCTCTGGCCAGACCAGCGCGCGTGTGAAAGCGATTAACGCCGACGGCAGACACGCGGAATTCGTCTGTCTGGTTGCAGAGGCAATGACCGCGGTATTTACTCAGACAAAATGCTCGAGTTTGTTGCAATGGTTAAACATAAAACCCTGGTTTAAATGGGTTACCGGTTTTCGGCAAGTCAAGAAAAGTCTCCATTAGAATGGTTTTTTTTGGGGTTGGATTCGTGTAAATATAAATGTGTCGTGAAACCCGCGACCACCCGACACAGTCAAATTAAAAAAGGTTCGTCACGTAAATAAAACGTGGCAATTAGTTACTAGAAGGGAAATAATGAAATAAGAAAAATTCAACATAATAAAATAATATAATATAAGAATAAAATAATATAATATTATTTTATTATTTCCCTTCTACGTGACTTTACCGAAAGAACCAAGAAGATGAATCCCTGCAGTCACGAAAGCTTTAAATCAATATTAGTTACTAGTTCACCACGCACTGGCGTGTTGGAGAGTAAACCCACGGCATTTACAAATCGAGCACTATGATGTCGAGCAATACACTTGATACGGTCACTTTAAAAACAGGGGGGGGGGCTAAGCGAGCGACCATCTAGCAGGGCTGCTTCTTTGCCTTTTAACAGAGAACAGAGGAGGGGTAAAAATCGACCACGCGGTGATTTTTTTTGCCGCCGTGCCGTGTGTACGGATCGCGCGATCCAATCGGTGCGTTCATTACAAGCGTTCAACTGGAAACGGTTACCGGTTCGCGGCGAGCGAATTTGGTTTTGTATATGGGCCTGTGCCGGATTCAGTTTTTCAGTTTTCATTTATTAGGTATGGCCCTGTGAGCCATTCGGTTCTTGAATCGGGTGCAACCGCAACAAACATAAACATGAACAGAAAATCCATAATCCTAATAGCAAAATTAGCTACATGTGCAGTAGCTACATATGTAGTAGCTACATATGTAGTAGCTACGGGCCCCGCACTTTCAAAGGCCCCGCGCTAAATGTGTTCAAGCTATCAATTCAGCTTCAGTGATTCTGCACTTGCTCTTTTACTATAGTACTATACCGCCTTCTATTTTTATGAACGACTGGGTGTTTAAGCTAAGCGATTTGTCGTATTGTCTGTTTTTATAGCAAATTCAAAAATACAATTACTTTACCATGAAATTAAAAAAATGTGTTTTAATATTAATGTGTTTTTTTTTAATTGAGGGCCTCTTTATAAGATATGCTACAGGCCCCACACTAGTTTAATCTGGCACTGATGTGGGCACGAGTGGTGTGATCACGGCCACAACGAAAACGAGCAGAAGACGACGCGATCAGTGCGCGCCACGGCGACCCTGGTGGCTTCTACACACGGACACACGCGTTTGCCTCCTCTAGGTCGACTCAGCCTCAACTGAGTACCTGGTGCGGTGTGTAAACGTCGCCACTTGGGAGGCAAAGGCGGCCGGGCGTGGTGCTGACCACCCACACCCCCCTTGTGTGCCGTGCCGGCCTTCATAGGTGCCACTCGCTAACAGCACTTGCCCCAACAGTCCGTTCAGGCTATACGGGGCATCTTTGTGTTTGTCAAATGTTTTCACGCGTGTGATGGGTACATTGTGTTCATCGTCATTTTGTATAGTTTTGAAAAGTAGATCGTGTATTTTGTGATTGTATCCGCAAATAGTATATTGTGTAGAGTGTAATTGTACTCGTGTGTGGATAGTAGAGTGTGTATATTGTGATTGTATCAGCGAATAGTATATTGTGTAGAGTGTAATTGTACACGTGTGTGAATAGGAAATATTGTGTATTTTGTGATTGTATCTGTAAATAGTATATTGTGAAAAGTGTAAGTGTACACTGTGTGAATAGTTGATTGTGTATTTTGTGATTGTATCTGTGAATAGTATATTAAGTATATAGTAATTGTACACGTGTGTTAATAGTAGATTGTGTATATTGTGATTTTATCTCTGAATAGTATATTGTGAAACGTGTACACTGTGTGAATCGTTGATTGTGTATGTTGTGATTTTATCTGCGAATAGTATATTGTTTATAGAGTAATTGTACCCGTGTGTGAATAGTTTATTGTGTATTTTGTTCTTGTATCTGTGAATAGTATATTGTATATTGTGTATAGTGTAATTGTACACGTGGACATCTGTGAAAACAGAACTTCATAGCTCATCGGATTCCTCCCAGTATGAAGACATATTCTGATTCTGAATAATGCACTGTGTACGATGTCCATGTGCACGTGTGTAGAATACCTTGTGTATATTGTGATTGTTTATGATGAATAAATGAAAGATAAAGTACTGGGCACCGCGGTGGTGAGATGTTAACTCCCTCGCCTGGTATACAGGAGGGAGTGGGTTCGATCCCGACCCTGACGCCTGCTGCTGTATGTTTGTAGTTTTTGTGGTCTCTCTCCCCGTGGTCGCGTTTTTTTCTCCGGGTCCTCCAGTTTCCCCCTCCACAATTAGAATGAACATCACGCGTTTCGAGTATATGGCTGCTCTAAATGTCCACGTGACAAGCCACTTGGCTTGAGCTATCATCTGTGGCCAGGTCGCTTCTGAAGAAGAGTTCGGCCTTACTTGGTAAAATATAAATGTTTTATAGTTTGTTTCATTTACTCGAGGGAACGATTTTCGATTTGGCGAACTGCGTTTTTTTTATTGCTGATCGCACGCAGCCTTGATACAGCTATCGTGCTGTGACGGTTCCACCTGAAGACGGAAGCTTGTGTTGCCTCCGAAACGTCGTGATTTTTATTTTATTTTTATTAATTTAAAAAAAATTTTACCTACGTGACTTTACCGAAAAAAACCTAAGAATATGAATCCTTGCAGTCACGAAAGCTTCAAATCTAGATTTCCGTTTATAGGATTGTGGTTATGGTTGTACTTTATGAATCCCTAATCTCTGCCATTACATACAATTAAACAAAAAAGGTAAAAAAAAAACATAGCAATGTAATACAATACACTATTAGACATTATTGTACAAAAAAATTAAAAGTCCATCCCATGTGTTAGTGAATTTTTTTATATTTTAGGAAGGAAATTCGTTTTCAAATTTAGATTTTTTTTGGGGGGGGGGACCCCAGACCCCCTGGAAAATTTGCCCCCCCCCCACCAATATTGAATCCATGGCTACGTCCTTGATGCTTGTTGTAAACTACTGGCGAAACGTCACGCTACTCGAATCGTAGATGTCGTGGGTTTACTCTCCGACACACCGGTTAGTGCTGTACTAGTAACGAATTGGGCACGTTCTTATTCCGTGACAAACCTCACTAATTGGCTGTGTCGGGTGGCAGTGGGTTTAACGACACATTTATATTTACGCGATCTAAAGCCTGCGGCGTGGGCCAAGATCCCGGGGGACGGCCCAAGACACGTTGCTGTGGGGGGACGACATCGCTCGGCTGGTCTGGGAACACCTGGGAACTCCCCAGGAAGAGCTACACAGTCTGTGTATCGTAGTGTATAGTGTATCGTAATGTATAATAGTGTATAGTGACTAGTAATGTATAGTAGTGTATAGTAATGTATAGTAGTGTATAGTGTATATTAGTGTATAGTAGTGTATACTATACACTACTATACACTATAAAACACTACACTATACACTGTATAGTGTAGTGTTTAGTAGTGTATAGTGTATAGTAATGTATAGTGTATAGTAGTGTATAGTAATGTATAGTAGTGTATAGTAATGTATAGTAGTTTATAGTGTATAGTAATGTATAGTAGTGTATAGTATATAGTAATGTATAGTAGTGTATAGTAGTGTAGTGTATAGTAATGTATAGTAGTGTATAGTAATGTAGTGTAGTGTATAGTAATGTATAGTAGTGTATAGTAATGTATAGTAGTGTATAGTAATGTATAGTAGTGTTTAGTGTATAGTAATGTAGTGTAGTGTATAGTAGTGTAGTGTATAGTAATGTAGTATAGTGTATAGTAATGTAGTGTAGTGTATCGTAGTGTATAGTAGTGTATAGTGTATAGTAATGCTCGAGTCTCGTCGCCAGGGAAAGTGCGGCATGGACTATCACTCAACACGCAACCACCACGACCCTCACCAGGGCAAGCGTCCCGAGAAACCACCTAACAACCTCACCCACGAACACACCTCTCTCATGGCTAACATCGCTCGCGAAAAGCTGACGACCACGTGTTCAACCACTTCCGCTGCCATCTTTGTCACCTACCCACCCGCAGCCCCTCCCCTCTCCCATGGAGGGCTCTGGGCTGGGCCACGTGACCCGCACCCCCAAGTGCGCGCGCTGCCGCAACCACGGGGTCGTCTCGCGCCTCAAGGGCCACAAGCGCTTCTGCCGCTGGCGCGACTGCGCATGCGCCAACTGCCAGCTGGTGCTCGAGCGCCAGCGCGTGATGGCCGCGCAGGTGGCGCTGCGCAGGCAGCAGCAGCAGCAGGTGAGGGGGGAGGGGGAGGGAGGGAGGGGGGAGGAGGGAGGGGAGTGGGAGTGAGGGAGGGGGAGGGAGGGGGGAGAAAGGGGGGAGGAGGGAGGGAGGGGAGTGGGAGGGAGGAGGGAGGGGGGGAGGGGGAAGGAGGAGGGAGGGGAGTGGGAGGGAGGAGGGGGGGAGGGAGGGGGGGAGGGGGGAGGGGGAGGGAGGGAGGGGGGAGGAGGGAGGGGAGTGGGAAGGAGGGAGGGGGGAGGGAGGGGGGAGGAAGGGGGGAGGAGGGAGGGAGGGGAGTGGGAGGGAGGAGGGAGGGGGGGAGGGGGAGGGAGGAGGGAGGGGAGTGGGAGGGAGGAGGGGGGGGGAGGGAGGGGGGGAGGGTGGAGGGAGGGAGGGGGGAGGAGGGAGGGGAGTGGGAGGGAGGAGGGAGGGGGGGAGGGGGGGAGGGGGGAGGGAGGGGGAGGGAGGGGAGTGGGAGGAGGAGGGGGGGAGGGAGGGGGGAGGGAGGGGGAGGAGGGAGGGAGGGGAGTGGGAGGGAGGGGGGAGGGAGGGGGAGGGAGGGAGGGGAGTGGGAGGGAGGGGAGTGGGAGGGAGGGGGGGAGGGGGAGGGAGGGAGGGAGGGGGAGGGGAGGGAGGAGGGAGGGGGGGAGGGAGGAGGGAGGGGGGAGGGGGGAGGGAGGGGAGGGAGGGAGGGAGGGAGGGGGGAGGAGGGAGGGAGGGGGAAGAAGGGAGGGAGGGAGAGGGAAGAGAAGGGGGAGGAGGGGGTGGAGCTAAAGGCGATAATGGGCGGGGCTCCTGGGGAGGGGGAGGAGCTAAAGGTGATAAGGGGCGTGGCCTCTGGGAGAGGGGCGGGGCTTCTGGGAGAGGGGCGGGGCTAAAGGTGATGAGGGGCGTGGCCTTGATGTTAGGGACGGGCTCTGGCGGGCAGGTTGAGTATCTGGGACTGTTAATAGGGGACGAGACTGGTGAAGGAATAGCAGCCAAAGGAGGGAGAGAGAGACAGAGACCGGCCGACCGCCGTGCACAGACAGCCGTGCAAACGCGCGGGGTTGGATTGTGGCATCGCGACAGCGCCGAGCGCATGATGGCCCTCGTCCAGCAGTGGATAGAGCGCGTCTCTCGCGGCGTTGCTGATGCTGCGGCGTTTGTGCTTCAGTCGAGGACTCGTCACGTGGACGCGGCTGCCGGGGGGGTCGTGACCTCTCGCTCCGCGGGTCACTCGCGCGCGGCCCGGACACCCGGCATCGTGGCACGGAGCATCCTGGAAGGTGATGATGCTGATGATGATGATGATCATCTTGATCAGCAGCAGCAGTAGCATGTAAATGTATCCTCATCAGCAACATCATTATAATCGTCACAGTAAATATCAATAAGGGCATTGCCACCAGCATCGTCTTCATCGCCATCACTGTAAACATCAACAACACCAATTGTGCTGTCACCATCGCCACCGTACAAATGAAGAACCCATCCTCGACACTGCCAACATCACCATCACAGTCAGCTCCACCACCACCATCATCGCCACCACCACCACCATCATCGCCACCACCACCGTACAAATGAAGAACCCATCCTCGACACTGCCAACATCACCATCACATCTTCTTGTTTCTTTCGGTAAAGTCACGTAGAAGGGAAGTAATAAAATAATAAAAATAAAACATAATAAAACATTATTATGTTTTATTTTATTTTTATTTTTATTATTTTATTACTTCCCTTCTACGTGACTTTACCGAAAGAAACAAGAAGATGAATCCCTGCAGTCACGAAAGCTTTAAATCGAAATCACCATCACAGTCAGCTCCACCACCACCACCACCACCGCCATCATCGCCACCACCACCACCACCACCATCATCGCCACCACCACCACCGCCATCATCACCACCACCACCACCACCATCATCACCACCACCACCACCTCCTCCTCTCTTTCTCACCACGCAGGTTATCGTCCCCCTGCCCTGGAGGCTGACTCGCATGGTGGCTCCTCCGGTACTTCATCCACCACCTCCTCCTCCTCCTCGTCATCGTCGTCCCTCCCTCCCGCACTCAGCGAGAGGATGCGCAAGCGCCGAGCGTTCGCCGACAGGGAACTGGAGTCAGTGATGATGGAGCGCGAGAGACTCCACAGCCATCACCAGCATCATCACCTGGTGGACAATCAACCCTGCAGACCCATCGTCCACCTCCTCCCAGCGATGTGGCCACTCGGGGCTTCTGCGGTATCTAGAGCCACCTATTTACAGTCCTGCTTGCACGAACATTTTCAACAGCAACAACATCATCAACAGCAACAACAGCAACAACATCATCATCAGCAGCAGCATCATCATAATCAGCAGCGCCGATCGCCTCTGGACCTCACGATGCCAAAATCGTGTCCTAAAACGCTCGGTGCTCCTCTGATGGAGCAGTGTCCAGTGGTGCACTCGTCACCACTGACATCAGCAGCAGCAGCATCATCAGCAGCAGCATCATCATCAGCAGCAGCAGCATCATCACATATGTTTATGTCAAATATTCAACCTCTGCCGCGAATCGTGTCCAGTGAAGCAGATGCAACGACCGCTTACTTCTTACAGCTGGAACATCACCTCCATCAACACCACCACCACCACCACCGTCATGATGCTGGTCACCACCATCATCAGCACCACCAGCGTAAAGAGGATGATCGTAAAGGTCATCATCATCATCATCAGCAGCAGCAGCAGGACCTCGATGTCACCTGCACCTGCCCAAGCGCGCGGGATTTGACCACGCTTGACGCGTGGAGGTCACAGTCACTGGGTCATCACGACCTCTCCTCGGCCTTCAGAAGGTTTCCGAACTCGCAGAGCGCCACAGTCAAGTCGCGAACGGAGCGCGACAGAGACGAGAAGGAGCAGGATGATGACGCGGACGATGAGGTGGCCGTCTTCGCGACATCTCAAAGCAAGAAGTCGGCCTCTGTCCGGCGGCCTCTCCCCTTCTCTGTGGAGTCTCTTCTGCAGGCGTGCTAGCAGCTTGCTAGCATCGTGCTAGCAGCGTGCTGGCCACGTGACGGCCACGTGACTGGCCACGCGCTCGCAGCGTGGTGGTCTGGTGACGGCCACGTGACTGGCCACGCGCTAGCATCGTGGTGGCCACGTGACGGCCACGTGACTGGCCACGCGCTAGCAGCGTGGCTGGCCACGTGACGGCCACGTGGCTGGCCACGCGCTAGCATCGTGGTGGCCACGTGACGGCCACGTGACTGGTCACACGCTAGCATCGTGGTGGCCACGTGACGGCTCACGTGACGGCCACGTGACTGGCCACGTGTTAGCATCGTGGTGACCACGTGATGGCCTCGTGGTGGCCACGTGGTGGTCACGTGACTGGCCACGTGCTAGCATCGTGGTGGCCACGTGACGACCTCGCGAGCTGAGCGATGGCCGACTCTGGGCGCGTGCTGGCCACGTGCTCACCCGAGCGCGCCACGTCCCCGTCCCCCCTTCCTCCTGTGTGCGACGCCGCATATCCGAACGCCACATATCCGCCCTCATCGAGTAATTGACCCCCCCCACCTCTCCCGCGGCGCATAGGCAGTGCTGCATCAGCTACGGGTGGTGTGAGCGTCGCTTTGCAGAGATGTTCACAGACCTGAGCGCGTCTCGCCCAGCGATGTTTCATCTGGCGTTCGTTCGCTGACTTCCGCCTTTGGGGAGGGTGTATAGTATGAAAGGCCGAAACATCCTAGGAACCAAAGGTTCACTACTGACGATGCGCTCCCCAAATTTCACCAGGCTCACTGTTCATGAACTCTTGGAAGTGCTTGCACAAAGGATAGTAACATCTCATCCTGTGTTCTTTGGAAACCAGAGCACGGCGGCGTGCGATGCACAGCACGAAATTAATCATCGTTCGCCGCGTCCCTTTGCGGAGAGCGTCACAAGATAACGCTGCAGAACAATTCGCCTGCACACACCTGTCTCGACACGTAAAAAAAAATAAAATTAGTTTTTTTTAAAAATCGGGCCTTCTTTGAGTGCTTTTCTTTTCAACAGCATTTTGTCTTTAACGCGAGCACGAAAAACTATGGACCGATTGCAAACATTCACTGCCTCGTCAGCACTGTCTGTGGCATTCTTGAATCAGTGCCTGCTAAAGTGCCAGATGTGCATGGGCACGGATCCTCCTCTTTTGTGTTCCATACGGACCCTATATTTAAATCGATTTGCTCTTTAAATGCGTCCAGTAACCTATTTTTCGCACGCGGGCTGGGGGTGGGTGATGTGTAACTATCAACGTGTACCATCTTAAAACCCTACAAGTGTTTAACATTCCTGCGGAATATATTGCGCTCCCGGTCGCTGGCACGTGTCTCGCAGTCGCCACAGACCATCGCAAGGAGAGGGTACACACACACATACCTGTCAACCCATACGGTTTACCCCATATCGATGTCCAAACGGCGTACGGCCGTTTCAATACGGGCAACAACAAAAAACCGTGTCTCTTTGTTTCTCCCATGTGATGGGATTTCGTAGGATGAACGTTGAGATTTATATTATAAACCAATAAGGTTTGAATTGGTCTGTAGAGATTTCCCAGGGTTTCGATACGCACGGAGAGAATCCGTGCGTGTGTGTCTGCGAGGAGCGGTGGTGCAGCGCTTAGCGCTACGCTGCGTTACGAACCTGGCCACCCGAGTTCGATTCCCGCTCACGGCAAACACCCAGCGACGATTATCTAGCCGGTGCGGTGTGTAAACATCGCCACTGGGGAGACAAAGGCGGCCAGGCGTGGTGCTGGCCACCCACCTCCTCGTGTGCCGTGCCGGCCTTCATAGGTGCTACTCGCTCACAGCACTTGCCCCAACAGTCTGTTAAGGCTACACGGGGGATCTTTGTCTATGTTGTGTATCTGTGAATATGTTTTTTTTGCGTGTGTGTAGTTAATGACGTAGTTTTACTGTATGTTTGAATGCGTGAACGTTGTACATACAGTATATGTATATTTAATAGGGGTGTAAATATCGTTTTTTTCTGTTACCGGTAAGCGAATGAAAACCGGTTAAACCGGTTAGTACCGGTTTATCGCACGCATATGCGTGTTTAGAACAATACACGTGAAGGGGCTTTTATAGTCGTTTACGCGCAAGAAGCGAAGACAGCTGCCACATCGGTCCACCACCCACTGGACGCACAACCCAAGCATCTGTGATCCGTAGTCGAAACAACGGAGATCGTCCCTCCTCAACCCCCCCGACCACCACCACCACCACCCCCCCAATGGCCTCTGTCCGTCCCAGCAGTCGAAATGGGTTCAGCAGAGTTGGCTCAGTCGGCAGGTCGTGCGTGCGGCGGTGGTGACTGTGGGGGTAAATTGTGTGCAGGCCCACCTGTTTCCAAGACCTGTGGTCAGCGTGGAAGAGTAGGCCAAGAGTTGGTCAGCAAGTGGCGGTAACAGGCACTTTCAGGGCTGCGCCTGTGCCACCTCTTACTCGTGAGTACTGCGCTGACGACGTGAACGACGATGATGAGTGTTAATTTTGGAGCTTTCGTGACTGCAGGAATTATTCTTTGGTTCTTTCGGTAAAGTCACGTATAAAGATAAAATAATAAATTAAATAATAGTACACGACGTTTCGATTGCAACACAAGCAATCATCATTTCATTTATACCTGATGATGATTGCTTGTGTTGCAATCGAAACGTCGTATGCTATTATTTAATTTATTATTTTATCTTTATACTTGACTTTACCGAAAGAACCAAAGAATGATGATGAGTGTGACGATGATGGTAATAATGATGGGTATGATGGTGATGATGGTGAGTATGATGATGATGATGACGATGATGACGATGGTGTATGATGATCACATCGTCGTTCATCTCCGTCCATCGCTCCCTGATCCGATTACTTAAATTCCACGTTGCCATGACGGTGGCCCGTCCATCACGGGTGGGATTTCTCTCCGCTGATGACAGCAGGGGTGAGACGGAGGGTGGGGGGGTGAGTTATGCCCAATGACGTCACAAGGCGGCAATTAACCCGGGAAAGTGACCCCTAATTAACCCGCAAGCCGCCTGAATTACTGGGAACCGTACACACGGTACAGACAAAGATAGCGCATGTAGCCCACACGGGATGTTGGGGCAAGTGCCGTTCGCGAGCGCCTATGAAGCCAGCCACGGCGCATGAGGGAGCCGCCATTGCCACAGCGCTCGTGCCAGGCTAGGTGCACGTTAATGCAATCGCGACAAGTGTGCACGGTTAGCTGACAACAACAAAAAGTATAACCCGTAAAAACAAAGTTTTTCACTATAAATCCTTTATATGCGTGGCGGCTAGAGTCCTCTCGTCCTCTGGCTTGAGATGGCTGCCACCTATGGGTCAGATGATTGCATTGCACCATTAAGCAATTGGTAATTAAATATAATTTTTTTGTCCTAATAAGTGTAAAATTTTGGGAAAAAATTTCACGAACATTAATTGTCTCGCACAACGAGTCTGTGTGCAAAATGTCAGCTCGATTGGATCACGGGAAGTGGGTTAAAAAACGACCGAAAGATTCGCACGGTCGTAAGCAAGCAAGCACGCAAGCAAGCAAGCGAACTTCATATAAAGGATTTAAAAAAATTAACCCGTAAAAACAAAGTTTTTCACTATAAATCCTTTATATGCGTGGTGGCTAGAGTCCTCTCGTCCTCTGGCTTGAGATGGCTGCCACCTATGGGTCAGATGATTGCCTGCCACCAGTAAGAAATTGGTAATTAAATATAATAATTTTTTTTTCCTAAAAAGTGTAAAGTTATTCTTTGGTTATTTCTGTAAAGTCACGTATAAAGATAAAATATACGTGACTTTACCGAAAGAACCAAAGAATAATTCCTGCAGTCACGAAAGCTCCAAATTAAGTTTGAAGTGTAAAGTTATGGAATTTTTTTTACGAAAATAAATTGTCACGCACAACGAGTCTGTGTGCAAAATGTCAGCTCGATTGGATCACGGGAAGTGGGTTAAAAACGACCGAAAGAGTTGCACGGTCGTAAGCGCGCAAGCAAGCGAAGTTAATATAAAGGATTTAAAAAAGACAAAGCTCGCCCGTATAGCTTTAAAGGACTGTTGGGGCAAGTGCTGTTAGCGGGGGTGGTGAGTCGCCAACACCACTCCCAGGCCGTCTTTGTCTTCCCAGCGCTGATCTTTTAGCGCCACACTCAAGACACAGACACACTTCATAAAACCGCGAGATGCACGCGACTTCAAGGCACCACGTGGTATTGAGCTGCCCGGAACGCGACGTCTCCACGTGCTCTCTCTGCACGTTTGTTGAGTGGTGCGCGTCACAATGGACACGTGACTGGGAAGGGGGGAGGGGCGGGGTGGGGTGAGGGGGGCGGCTTTGACTTTGCCCGCGTGATTGTTCGCTGAACATCAGAATATAATTTTCGATTTAAAGGTTTCGTGACTGCAGGGATTCATCTTCTTGGTTCTTTCGGTAAAGTCACGTAGAAGGGAAATAATAAAATAATAAAAATAAAACATAATATAATAATTTTTTTAAATAAAACATAATAAAATAATTGTATTATGTTTTATTTTTATTATTTTATTATTTCCCTTCTACGTGACTTTACCGAAAGAACCAAGAAGATGATCAGAATATATATATTTCGATTGGGGGAATCCGATGGGTGCCGACTCAAACATCGGTATTTGTGTTTTTGTTGCGTGTGCTTTTTTGCGTTGCGTATTTTAATTACAATCGTGATTATATTTCGATTTAAAACTTTCGTGACTGCAGGGATTCATATTCTTGTTTCTTTCGGTAAAGTCACGCAGAAGGGAAATAATGAAATAATAAAAATATTAAACAATAAAAATTCTCACGACGTGAAATCCACAGCTGAGCTCATTCAGACGCTGTCTTTCCGACAGACCTGTTCTTCACCTGAGGACGGCTGCTTGCGTTGTGGCCGAAACGTCGTGAGAATTATTTTATGATGTTTTATTTTTATTATTTTATTATTTTCCTTCTACGTGACTTTACCGAAAGAACCAAGAAGACTTCTTTATCTCGTTTAGGTTGATGCTAACCCCGTCTCTCTCTCTCTCCTCCCTCCCTGCCTCTC